CACACACACACACACACACACACACACACACACACACACACACACACACACACACACAGAGGCTCAGGCAGAAACATTAACTCTTCCTCTTTGCATTTTGGCATCAGGGGATAATAAASAAGACTTTGAGAAAAGTCATTTTTGTTTATTTGGTCAAAGATCAAAGAAGGAGACGTGTTCAGAGTTCATTCTCTCTTTTTAAGAGCGGTCAGCACCACGGTCACTGGGCTGCTGGACGGTGAAGCCCGATGATTCACCACTGAGAAGACTTTCATGGTGGTGTGGGTGAGAAGGGACCCCGGCTCATTGGCTCTCGCCTTGCAGGTCAGCACCTGCAGCAGCTCCTGGCGAAAGCGRCGGCTGACCATTGTGTAGAGCAGGAAGTTGGTGGTGGAGTTGAGGTTTTGCAGCATGTTGGCCAGGTCTCCCGCCACGTTGATTGGAAGGCTGTAGTCGTTCCTGTCGAAGCTTTCGTGGTTGTATTTGGTCCTCAGGATGCAGTAGGTGACAAAACGAGGCAGGCTGAGCACAACGAAGGCCACGGACACTGTGCCCAGCAACAGAATGGTTCTCCTCAGTGTCCCTCTGCTGCTTCTGCCAGACATGATGCTTCGCTCCTCCTTTGTGAAAAGGTTGCTCGCGCGGCAGAGATGGAACCCAATCAGGTAATTGAAGATGGTGACCAACACAATGGGGATTCCTCCTGAGAGAAAAGTAGACATCCAGACTACAACAGTGGAATAGGTGTGGTTGCGGTATCGACACCTGGGCAGTGTCGTGTTCTCTCCCTCCACTGTCAGGTTCACAGGTGTGACGATGTTGATCCAGCTCATTGGCACAGACACCAGGTGGGACACAAGCACTATAGCCATGCAAGTCATTTTAGTGACCCAGGGCTGGGAGAAGTGCTGTCTGGCTGCCATGCTGCTGAGGACGAGGTAACGCTCAATGGTGAAAACCACCACAATCCAGGAGGAGCTGTAGAGAGAGCCATACTGCAGGAACCCCAGAATGCCACACCATGGGTGGGAGTGCCAAAAGGGCTGCACAATCCAAAATGTAAGAGTTAGGTCGACAAGGATGACCCAGATCACGTAGAAAGTGTCCACAATAGCCAGACAGCTCAGATAGATGACAGCTGTGTTGGACATCCTGCATTTACGAAAACAGATCATGTAGAAAGTGAAGAGGTTTGCTGGAGAGGAAACAAGAAAACAAAGAAGACCGTCATTCGTCTGACACCAGCTGGAGTTTCTTGAAGGGATCCCTGATCAGTTGTAACATTAGACTTCATTTAATAAACATTTATTTATGTAAAATAAAGACTGTAAAAATACTGTAGGATGTTTAGTTTTGATGACTTTTAAGTTTAAAAATATATTACATGGACGGGGCCATTTTATTTCCACATAAAGCATTCTGGGTAAATGATGACGTGGATAGGTCCTCGG